CTGAAATGCTGTGAAGGGAGGATTGAACCTTTAACTCCTCCAGCTAAGTTTGGTGCAGCTCATAAATGTTTCACTTTTTGAATTCAAACAACATTATAATCTACCCAACGACTACATCTGCACCACTAAGTAATTGGGGAAACAATTATTAGTAGGCAAGCTACAAAACTTTTCAGAGCAACATTTCAAGTCTTGCGTCATGTTTGGTACTCAAAAGATCTTTTGATGAATTCATGAATTTGCATATTGTACTTGAGCCGCAGGGCTCGCCCTAGGGTTAGCTGGAAATTTTCCTGCAGCAGTGAGTAATAGAAGGTGAAGGAGTTACTCAGAAGGCCAAGCACGGGTCACAATAATTAATTTGTAATTCACATAGATGGAAAAGGAGAGGTGCGCTTTAGATTTGCACAAAGATAATCTACGAAGCGCATGCAAACCAAGAGAACAGAACAAAACTAAAAGGCTGCCAGACACTTTAAAAAAAAAAAAAAAAGATGACATTCAACAACTGTTTTCTGGTTTAGCGAGCATTGCGGTGGAATTGGTAGGCCTTTCTCTGGCAGGAGATGATTATCACAGTTGTTTTTGCAGATACTGAAAATGAGGAAATGCTTGACTTCAGTTTCTTTTTTGCTCTGTCTTTTGTGAAAGGAAACTGTAGAGAGAGAGCCCATTATTCAAGCAACACATCTACCAAAGACAATTCAATTTCCAGCCTTTTGTAATAAATGTCAGAGCAGGAAACAGCTGACGGAGAACTGCTTTATCTGGGTTTGTACCAAAGTGAAGAAGGTGTGTGTGAGTGTGTAGATGTTTTATTCATGTTACGGAGACTTGCCTCACATTTACAGACAGAAAACTGATCTTCACATGTTTCATCTTTAAATTCTAGTTGATAAAATGGTCTCGGCTCAAGGTTTATTCAGTAGCTGCTCTGCAGGTTATTGATCACATCAAACGATCTTCATAAACAGGTCGGAGTTTGGACTGTAAATGTCATCGAGCTGTAGATGTTGAAATCTACAATTTAGGTGGAGTAATATGTGTTCAGGTAGAATTTATGGCTTGACCAATAAGGACAAACAAAGCTAATGAAGCAAGAGTGTTCATGATTAATGGACATATTTGGATGTAGCTTTGTTTTAGCTTGGTCAAATCAGAACACACAGGCATGATAAAAAATACTCTTGGGACCATTTCTTACCTGAAAGACTCAAAGATGGTCCACGATGTCTTTGTAAATGCTCGTTGTTGCATTGATGTAAAGACTGACAGTGACTCAAGACTTAATATTTTCAGTATGTTTTAACCTGAAAATATATTGAATTTGTCATAATTTTTTTCCCCTAAAGTTGTCCAATCTCACTCCTAAAAACGCAGGCCTTCTGATATAACACTACAATTTATAGAGGTTCCCAAAAGTCCCCACATACTACACAACTACAGTAGACTCCAGACACTGTGTTGTTTTATGTGGCTACGCACAAGAGTTGGCAAAATCAGTCTGTGTACAGTAAATATAATGAGTCTGTGTTATCTTATTTGACAATAATCTATGCATTTTTGTTATACGGACACTTTATTTATCCTCTTGAGTAAATTTGGGTATTCCAGACCTCACAGACATATTATAAGTAAGAAGAAAATAGAAGAACAAGACAAGGTGCAAATAGAATACATTATAAAAATACAGCATAAAAACAAGGTGTAAGAAGAGCTCCTCATGTCCTGGTGGATGCAGGCAGGACTATATTGTGAAACGCTGCAAATGGGGCTACCAGAATAAAACGTATAAATATAGTATAAAAATAAATTATACTTCATTATGTTATTTCCATTGCCTCGCAGCTAGACGGTCGCCGGTTCGCGTCCCGATGAGGACACCCGGGATCTTTCTGCATGGAGTTTGTATGTTCTCCCCGTGCAGCATGGGTTCTCTCCGGGTTCTCCAGCTTCCTCCCACAAGGTCCAAAAACATGTTGAGGTTAATTGGTGATTCTAAATTGTCCGTAGGTGTGAATGTGAGTGTGCTTGGTTGTCTGTCTCTAAGTGTAGCCCTGTGATAGACTGGTGACCTGTCCAGGGTGTCCTCTGCCTTCACTCTAAGTCAGCTGGGGTAGGCTCCAGCCCCCCCGTGACCCTAGTGAGGATTAAACAGTGTATAGATGATGGATGGATGGATGTTTTTTCTGACTATCTGATAAACCAAATTGTCTATTGTCCTTGAGTAAATAAAACCTCCATTTAACGTTGGCACCGTCTGAAACCTCTTTTGAGGAGGCGCCAAAAGTACCTATTTGCAGCAAAACTTGTAAACTTATAGTTATCTGGATATGTCCAATATCGATCTGTTGCAGATCAATTTTCGAACCTACAATGTTCCTCCTAAACCTATAATCCTCACATATGGGGGTTGTCTTCAAAGTAATCCAGTGAGCAGTGTTTGTACACTACAAACAGGAAAACCTAAAAGCTGCTTTGGCATGACTTTGTATTCTTCTACTACTACTTATTTCTACTAAGGAGACCTAATGCCGTAACACTGTGGTACTACGCTGCATCCAGATCATGAAGGACGAGAGGTGATGATGGGAAGTTTTCCCATATTTACAACCCGCCATCGAACAGCTAAAGCAGGCAGTCGTGTTGTGCTGCTGCTTCTCACTCAGATTTGAGCTGCCTTAATCCAAAACCGCTAACAACAAACGTTCTTCAAAGAACTACCCAGCAGGCAAACTGTTTGCTAAAAACACTACTAAACTGTAAAATACATGAGTGTCATTTAACCAAAGTGTGACAAATTCATGTAGTAAAGGACTACAAATAAAGGCAGCGGAAGCCAAGCAGAGAGAAGGTGTTTGAAGGTGTCTTAAGTAAATCCTCGTACAGTTTGTCTGATGACACTCTGTGCATATGGGGTTGGTTGGCCTACATGCAGAGAGGGTGACTAATAATTGATAAGTTGTTGCTGCGAACCCTGCAGGCGAGAAGTGGATGAACTCCCGCTGTGAAGTAGCAGCTTGAGGGGGGCTCATGCTCCATCTATGTAACATGTGTTGTGGTTGAAGTGGAGGACTGCTGCAGGGCTGCTCTGCATATGAGAATGCAACCCTGAGGAGCAGCACTGAGTCACAAAAGCTTTACAGCGTGTGCATACAGATAGTGTGTGTACACGGAGGAGGTGTAGACGTGTTGAAGGTCGGCAGCGCGTTGAATAGCGACAACTGTAGCTTCCCACCGAGCTGCTCTTTAGTTTTCAACGTGTTCGACTTGTTATATCATCTGTTTGCTCATCAGCTCTTCCGCTGCTGTTACACAAGTCTGTCAGTAATATTTCAACTGACATTACATGTACAGTAAAGTATCACATGAGTCTGTAAACTGTGATTGGCACAGATATCTCAGTCATCATCAACTAGTTTTACCAACATACATCATGTAGGAGTGATTAAAAAGCCTTTAATGGGCACTTTATAGATCAACAATGTTCCTAAATGTGTTTTTCACTCCAGCTTTTGGCACAATATTTGTACGTATGCATTGTTTACTCGGTGTTAATATGTTTTTTAGGGATACCAATAACTGATATTTGAACATACGCTGATAGTAAAATCTTAGTGTCAAAATTTTAAATAACCGAAACTCAAAAAAAAACATGATTGAAATGTGTTTCAGTTTTGATGAGCTATTACTCACGACTTGTAACTAATGAGATGGTGCTGTGGGAAGGGTATGAAGAGGCAAAAACAAAACAATGAGAAAAGCCCGATAAAGCACGAATATCAGAATTCTAAACTTATGAGCCAAATATCAATGCAATGAAAAACAATCTAAATAGTTGAACATTCAGCTCTGATTTTTAGATAAAGACATTTGGTCCTACCTACAGTCCAAACCTCAGAATTATTTTTAAAAATAACTTAAAATTATTAAAATAATTTATGGAAAAGCTCCGAAAAACTGAGAAGCTCAAACCCTTACAATCTTTGACATTTGTTCAATTATCAAAATATTTTCCAAATAATTTTCTATTTAATTTTTATTGTTAAGTAGTTCAACATGTCACAACCATCATATTTTAATTTTATATATATTTATAAATTATTTGCAAAGTAATCACCAACTCTAATAGGTGTAGTGGACTATTTGTGTAGTTCGTTTAATGGACTTAGATTCCAGAACATGCTCAAAACTTTCAGCAGTTCTTTTTGATTGGGTGTTATTTACTTTTTCTTCATTTCAGCAGAAGGTAATTGTTGTCTTTGCGAAATTGCTTTTGAACACTGTAGTTGGAAAGTTATGTATCCAATTACCTCATTGTAATTTGCATTAAAACAGAATGAGAACCATCAGGGGAGCTATTCATCCAAGACAACTTAGTTTGTATTGGAAATTTCCACTGGTCCAATTACACACATGGAGGATTCACACGTCTTAAAACCACTGACCTCAGTAAATATTATGAATTTCTTGGAATCCCAAGACGTTCTTTGCCCTGCAGGGGTAGGAATATAAAAATTCCTTAAGATCTCTGTAATCCTAGAATAACATTAATTCAACAGAAACGCTGCGGCAGTTGTAGAAAAGTAGAGTGGTGAGAAAAACAAACCCCCCCGAGACAAAGTGATAAAAAAGGGCAAATTTATTTAAAGCACTTACATAGAAAAATATGATTGATTTGAGTCAACAATAATAAATAGAGCGCCTGACTATCCCCAGGCCCTGTCGGTACAACAGTACAATCAATATCCAGTTTCACAATACAGCAAAGGCACTAGCATTTACCACAATCAACAACAAGTCAATGGAGGCGGCGTGGATGGCAGCGGGGAGGGAGCAGGGCTCTTCATGGCACCGATCACACTCACTCCTCACCGAACGCCACCGCTCACGATCCGACGCTTAGTACCTGACTCCTGTGTCTGCCGTACGCTCAATGGAAATTACACTAGATTCTTTCGCTTCTTTTCTGCTTGCCTTTCCCCCCCCTCCCTCCCAAATGCAGGCAGAGATCAAGAAAACAAAACAGACAACAAATCTTTTCAACAGAAAAACAAGAAAGAAGAACAAAAGTGAAGCCGGATGCCGCTACGAGCTGCGATGTCCCATCCCGGATTTTTTCTTGTCCTGTGCTACGGGGAAGGACGTCAAAAAACATCATGAGCAATCTTGTAGACACCGAATAATTAATACGTTTGGCCAACCGGTTTGAAATAGTTTGTCAGGTGGCAAAGGTTTGGTCAGTTTTGATCAGACTCAAATCATTAGGAATTATTCCCCGATACCCAGCACTGCATGGCATGGCAGCACGATCAATAGTTCATTTATAGAATAATCCTGCACAGGTTGGAAATGTTGGACAGACCACGCAAACAACAAAAAAACAATTACAACAATTAAATTATGAACATTAAAGTCCAACTGAAATTAAATATCATGTTTTTATCTCGTACACATCAGCTCTAATGTTGTCTTTTAGTCCAAAATAAAGAGCCTTTAAAAGGAAACACATTTGTATTTTTGTACTTCAGTGGTACCTCCGTTTACCTCTTCATACCCCAGTTTGTGTGTAAAGATGGACAACATGTCACTACGACCCCAGCTACACAAAAGTGAAACCCAAATATCACAGAAATGGTGGGACCTTGATATTCATATATCAATAATCAGTTTAAATATTTTTTTCAAGACAAAAGAAGTCAAATATCTTTGATTCCAGATTCTTAAATGTGATTTTTTTTTCTTTCCTCCTCCTCCTCTGTGACAATAAACAGAAAATCTCTGCTTTGTGAAGAAAACAAAACTTTAACTGGGGCTTTTAGGCAACACTGATAAACATTTTTTATGTTTTTCTTACATTTATAGATCAAATAGACTTTAGAAAATAATTCACGATTTCAGCCGCATCTGAAATATACACATTCAGAAAGTGACTCAGATATTTCAGTCTGAAAGCTGTTTTTTTTATCTGAGATAATTACGATGCACCGCCCGATCAGAGCTGAATCCCACCTGCATTTGTTTAGACTTAGTAGGATTTCAACCTCAGGCTTCTAGAAACCCTAGTTTAGATGCTAAAGTGATGTTTCTTCCACTTTAAACACAAAGAACTAAAGAGTAATTGTGAAGTTTGGCTGCTAAATGTTTTTAATTTCAGCTGGACTTTACGAAACAAAATAGGATTATGGGTAAAAGGGTACAGTAGATGGCACATATATCCAGTGAATCAGACACAAACAAAGACATAATGGCTCAAAAAGCAACAAATCAAAACAAGCTCCTGCCCTTCGTCTCACTCAACAACAACTCACTGTCAGGGGTCAGTGTTGGTCGCGTGAGTTGGTCCCAATCGGTAATGATACGCGTCATCATTTAGAGATTTTTGCAGCTTTCAGAGGGATGAATGATGCCAGACGAAATTAATAATTTATCTTTTGTAACGTGAAAAGAACATGTAGTGCAACTGTTTACATGCAAGACAAAAGCGAGCATGACACTGACGACAAGCAGTAAGCGTGTTGTAGACGTGCCATATGACGCAGCTGGATCACACACACACTCACACACACACATACATACATACAAAGCACATCCCTGAAGCCCACAGAAAATCTGAAATAATTGGACTGGGACACTATGGATTTCTTTTAAAGAGGTCAGAAAATATAGAAAGAAAAAAATAAACTGATTCTTATGTAAAGCCGTAATCAAAAACATTGTAAATGTTCACTGTCATTGGTTCTGATTTTACACTGGAAAAGAAAAAAAAGAAAAAAAGAAATGAAAATATCATTAAATATCATAGTAAATATCATGAAAGTGATAAGGCTTGTATCTTTCTCCAGTTCGACTGGCCTCCCAAATGCAGTCTTCTCTCTTATGTTTGTCACCAAAGTGTAAGGGGTCCCGTCGTGTCCAGATATCCACGCAGACCGACTGGTTCGTAGTTCTGGAAAAAGCCCTGATTGTCAGAACAAATTGTAAGAATATGGTTATTATTTCCCGGCCTTAAAGCTAATCCCATCCGTATCCTCGCTCGTCCTTTCAGCCTTGTCAGAATCCTGCGTTAAGAAAATCCGCAGTCATGTTCGGGTTTTCATCTCAGTCACCTTGAGGTGGAGTCGACTGGAGAATTAATGCACAGGAGCCCGAGAGTGCTCGAGAGGGCTGTAAAGCTGTACCGCCATGTTCACACTCGGCGCCGGCGACGAGGCCCCCAGCGCAGCGTCAGTACATGTCCGAGCTCTCGGGGGCCGACCGTCGGCTGACTGTCTCCGCTTTTTAGATGTTCCTCTGGGCGGTGAGGTACTTTAGAGCCGCCGAGCCGTACTTCCTCGATAGATCCTGGTGGAACTCGTCCTTCAGGGTGTTCAGACAGTTGCGGTAGCTCGAGCTGGAGCGAAACTTGGAGATGTCGAAGCTGGGGGCGTGGGGCATGTGGATCATGAAAGCGTTGGGGAGGACCATCAGGTCATACTCCTGGGAAGAAGAAACAAAAACAAACTGGTTGAAATAATCATACGTGACACTTTAAGCAGCTCTGTTTTGTGGACATTTAAGTGGCCGTACAGAGACCTGCTCTGTGGTAAGTTAATCGCTTTCATAGCTTAAAGGGGACATACACACATGTTAATTCTATATTTGTATCCTGGAGCACTTTCGGCATGTCTTTGCATGAATATTGATCCCATACCGCCCCTATATGCATTTACTTAGCTCCTGTCTCCGAGGACAGTCCAAAGAAGAGAGGATGTTTGTGAGCACATGCAGAATATCTGACTTCAGCAGAGGCAACAATGCACAAAAGGCCATTTTACACACAGTGGCCTAATGTTTTGGACCTTTAACCATGTATAACAGCTCTTCAAACTTATTACACAAAGGTCTGCACCAGATTTGTAAAGGTCACGGGTCCAGAATGATATGCGATAACAAAATACCATTTACCTGCTGAACCCCGAATAGTTTCAGTGCATTAGTTGCTCCTGTCACACTTTTCCTCACTGGGCTCATGTTCACTGCAGTATAAATTCCTGCACCTCTATGGAAACGGCACAACCATCGCTACAAGTAGAGGACTCGAAATGGTGTCATAACTGTGTTATTCTGCACAAAAGACTGAGTTTGTATATGAAGAAGACCAATACAGGGTGAGTATTTCAGCTGAAAGGGCCGAGCTCATACACCAGGACTGTGTTCAGAAGTCTGACCAAGAATCAAACAAGACAATAGAAGTGTTGCATTTGTTCTTCAAACATTATAGTCTCCTCATAAAGACAGACACTCAGATAATGCAGAGTGCAGTTAAAACCAGGCTATAGCAACACTAAGACAAAGGTAATAATACGTTTTGCGACAACAGTCTGTACAGATATTTTACTGCTTAATTGTTTTGTTTCCACACTTGTCTTCTGTCTGCTCTCTGTAAACAGTCTTCAAGTTAGCCTGTAAGTCCTTGAATTTTTGTCACTTGACTGTCGGTTGCAGCTGATTCTTTAATGGTCAGGACGCCAGAACTTTGTGTTCTACAAAAACCATTCGGAGCAAAGCGCTTAGTTTTGGTGGATTTTTAAACCAGACAGCACATCACAGATGATTAGATCAAGGACCATTAGAAATTTCTAAATCTGATGGTTTTACTGAGTTCCTGGCTCTGATAAATGGTGTAATTTTAAAAAGATAACATGCCTTTAAAAGCAGCCAGTGGATTTTGGGGTTCAGAGGGTACATCAGCTCACTTATGATTTTTAAAGACACATTTCAGCTCAAGACAGTCAAAATGGCATGTTTATCTGCAGTCAGCTGCATTAATGTGACCTCTGAACTCTGATTTCACCACAAATGTCACGTCTCTTGTGATCGGAGAAACCGAGGCAGACTTTCACACAAGCTGTAGAAACCCTGTGCCGAAGAAAATGAGACACATTCTGCACCTACAGTGTAATTTATGAATTCAAATAGAACATGTTGCACTTATGAACACAAAATGTTCTTAACCTCCTTGACACAGTGTAATTTTAGACTTAGTCATAACTTGACCTTTTGTTGGCAAGACGTGGTAAAATCTGTGTTTCATCAATCCAAAGTGAGGGTCCTAGATCTCACTAGGCCAAAAACAGATGCAATATTGGGTTTTTTTAGCCTTGGATTGACTGTTTTAAGAAATTTTAAGATGCAGCGGTTGATGGAATAATTGTGGTAAGAGGTTTCTATCCTATCTATAGTCAGCCCATTACCTACAGTAGAGGGCGGCTGGCACACATCCAGTTTAAAGAAGCAGAGGACTGCTGGCAGAAAGGCTAAGCAATGACCGGGGTCAGCAGCAAAACTTATTTTAACCACCTAAAGAAGGTCTCCATGTAGAATATTCTCACTGCTTTACCTTTCCGTTACACAGCACTTTACTTTGCAGGTACATTTCCCCGACTGTAGAACTTCCATATTACTATTCAGAAGCAAACCTGTGCTGTGTGCTGTATTATGCTGCAGATCAGGTGTGTTGGTCAGAGCTCCAGCGGTGCAATGCAGTACACCACACAGGTTTGATTATGTGTACGAATACAGAAGATTTATGGCCGAGAAAATGGAATGCTAAAAGGTAAAGAGGTGAGATTATTCTAAATTTAGCTCACAATTGAAGCAATATTGATTTTATTTTTTTGGTGGTGGCTAAAATATGCTTTTCTGCTGAACATTCACAGCATAGATCCTCTGCCAGCAGTCCTCTGCTTCTCCAAACTGGGAGGTGCTAACTGCCCTCTGTTGTCAGTAAAACGCTGACTGTGGATAAATACCTCAAACTATCCCTTTATTTGTCAGGACTCTGAGAATACTGTTGTCCATTCAAGAGAAAGTTGATCTTCATGCTGGTATTTGCATTAGAAGTTCTTGCAGACGTACCTGTGCGTCCAGCTCCATGATATGCGACACCTTGTTCCAGCCGAAGCCAACAAAGCGCTGGTCGTACTCCGGACAGTCTCGTCTCACCACGACGTACGGCTCGAAGTCCGGCTCCCACTCCACCTTGTAGGGTGTGGTGGCTGTCCGCCATTTGGCATAGTTGGTAGGAGAGTGACCCTTTGGCCACACGTGGTACCTGGAGAGGCAGGAGGGCAAAACATTCACATTTATCATTTTTGTTATCCTAATCATAATCCACTGGTGTAAAAAGAAAACTGTCAATTATCTGTGTAGGTTCTCAGTCATCCAGGTCATGATCTGATGATGAACTGTCAGTAAAAAGCAACTGGAGATCCCTTTTTGGTTCTTAAAGACAAAACATCTTCAAGAACTTCACAAAAAAGGGGGTCCAGTTGGTTTTAATAAGGCTCTTAGGGTTAACTTTCAGTTCCGTGTGTAGGTACCTGAAGGTGTAGAGAGTCCCCATGTCCAGCATGGAGAGCAGCTCGGCTTTGGACTTGGGGAAGGACAGACGATAACGAAGAGTTTCGAAAGCTGGAACCACGAGGGCCTTCTTGGTGTGAGCCATGTCCAGCTGCACCACAGACTTTCTGCAGGAGCAAACAGGTGGTGAGACACAGTTAAAAGCAGCTTCTAAAACAGCATTTCTCATTATTGCCAAACATCTGTGACACAAGACCTTCCAGTGTAAAAACTTTGAAACCAGTCTTACACCTCAGTCCTGCATTAATGATGGTTCAGCAACAGACACAGAGTACAATTAGGGAGAGAAGAAGGTTCAATACCTTAAACTTCCATCGCTAATAAATTTGTTATCTACCCTCATGTTCTATTTTGGTTTAATGTTTTATTTCTCTGATGCCAAAGGCAGCAGCAAAGAAACTAACGTGGTCACCAAAGGTCTGTGTAAACTCTCAGTCATCCAGCTTGTTGTAATCCTGGGTGCTGCAGTAGAACACAACTGGACTTCTTTTTGGTTCTTGAAGATGTTGCATGCAATGTCACCTCATTTATCACATACATCTGAGGCAGTGCAGAGTTGGGGGTGAGATTAAACACTGGAACCCCCCACCAGTCAGAAATGAGGGGAAACATCTACAAGAACCAGAACAGAAGTCCAACTGGATGTAGGATGCAGGCATATTTCTGCCATTGGCCGTTCATTTCAGGTGACTTACTCCTCTCCTTCCGCTATCTGTGTGTTACTGTTTTCTACAAAAATAACAACCTCTGACTAGCAACCTACCACAGTGGAAATTTCAAGTTTTGTTTAGGATTTTTGCAGCTCTGCTATTTTTTTCCAATGACTTCTACAATTTAGTGGCAGCGCTCGTCTTCCTGGTGCTTGTAAAAGTTCCACCAAAATAATTTGGCCGCAGAGCAGCAGAGACAGAATTCACCACCTCCAACTGGAAGTTTTAGAATAAAGTCAGGGAGAAAATTCAAGATACAGAGAAGTGACTGGCTTTGTATCCAGGCAACTGTAAGCACATCTAAGTTCTACCCCCAAAAACATCACTGCATGACCTTTTGACCAGATCGCCCACCTCTAGAACAAAAAATACAAATGTAGAGGAGTATTCCGTGGGAGCACTGCTTTACATGAGTAAACGCACCACATCCTGAGCTGACCTCACAACATCAGGACCAAACTGTAAACCTGCACATAGTCAGTGTGTCAGGGAAGCAGACCAACATGCAAACTAAGCAGTGAGCTGCTGTGGACAGTCAGCAACAAAACACAATTTGGCCACCTAAGAAGAAAAAAAAATCAATCAGTATAAGAGAATGCTATATTTAGAATATTCTCGCTGCTTCACCTTGCTGTCAGACAGAACTGTTCAACCCAGGCTTTTAGAGCTTCATGTTCTCTTTAAAGCCACCAGGTTCAATTAACAAAAACAGCAATTTTGTCTCACAGAACATTGGAGTTGTACTGCTGCTGTCTGGATCGATTAGCCTGGGTTACTGCCTGACTTTTAGCTTATCTGAACTAACGTGTTAAACACAAAAGTCACACAACAACAGACCAGCAACTTCCATCTTTTATGAGGTCAGGCTTTGAAGAGAATGATAGGAAAGCCTCAGTATCCCAATCAGACAAGGTGCAACTCTTAGTATTACACATACACTTTAAGTTGCATAGATTTACTTAATTTAATGGCTGGACCTTCTTTTTATGTGGCTAAAGTATGTTTTCCTGCTTCCCACATCCACAGCAGCTTCTGCTCCCTCAGCGTATTGTTGTGACAAAAAAAAATGACAGGAGTAAATAATTCCTAGAAGCTGCTTGGTTCAGAAGGATCAGTACCATTTTCAGTGTATGACCTGTACTTGGAATACGATGGGATGTTAGTTCTTGTACTTAAGTGAAGGTTCTGAATTCTTCCTCTGCTGTTCTTCCTACATTTTCACTTTGAAACGTCTGCCATGATGAAGCTCTGTTAGACCCAGTCAGCTGAGAGTCATTTGATTTCTTAGATGAAGAGGACGGTGTTCCTACCTGAGGTAATCATAGAGACCGTACATCGGCAGGAAGTCTACGTCTGTCAGGAACACGTAGGGCGTGTTGGCGTTCTTCAGAGCCACGTTCCTCACCAGGTTGACCGGGTAGAACTGGCCCTCCTTGTACACGATGTGGTAGCCGACGTTCTTGCGGTTCTTGAGGACCTCGGAGGCCTGAGCGTAGCGCAGGAACTGCTGAGCTTCGGCGTCGGACATGTAGAGTGCCAAGCTGATGGGGCCTTCCCAGTGCTTACAGATGGCCTCCAGCATCTGCAGCCTGCAGGCATAAACACACAGAAAGTCAATTTACTTTCATTATCATATTTTAGAATTTGTGATTTCTTTAGTAAACAAAATGTTGCAAAACTGTGAGAGACAGCCTCCAATACACATTCAGTTTAATCAGATTATTGCTCGAAGCGATATATGATCTTGAACGCTGGCTTCATACTGCACAACATATCTGTGTCTGATCAGGTTTTTAGGAGTCAAACATTTTTGTGGTGAGCTGGCCGAGACATGTCACAGACCACACAGATCTTTCACAACCAGAGACTGATGCCAGAAACAAGAATGTAAACTTGAGCTTGTTATTCTGCTCTCATTGGTTATAGTCGCATACACGTTGTGGAAGTTACAAAGTGAGAGAAGGTAAAAAAATTCTGACAGCACTGTGTTTTTATGCAACTTTCCACTGCAGGAACTCGGGGAGGTGTGAGGCGACGTAAGGATTTGCAAGAACGGTAACAGGTCCTTTCAGCCTTTCTGTTTCTATTGCACTGTAGGATCCAAAAGCTTTGTGTTTAGCCACCAAACAACAACAAATACTGGATGTAACTCCAGCGCTGTGTCTGGAATCATCTGCTCATTCCCTACTCCCTATCTAGGAACCACTACATGGTGAACTGTGTAGGGAACAAAAGTAACATGTTGGACACTACTTGAGTCGTGGTGCTGTTGATTACGTCGCTCACTAGTTGTGATTTGTGCTGTAGCAGCGTAACGCAAACACAACAAATTCACAGTTTATTACATGGCTGACAAACAACTCAAATCAAACTTAACAATAAAACCTACACTGGAAATTACTTATGAGATATATACATATGATAAATTCTTGTTTGTCTCCCTCCTGCAGTACATGTCATGATCGTGCATATTTCTCAGGTAGTGGCCATCGGCTGTACACTACTTTTTATGGCGCAGTGTGGCATATTTTGAGTGCACTATATGGGCTGTAACAGCTATAACTTAACCCTTACATACTGTCTGGGTCAAATTTGGCCTGTTTTCACGTTTGACAGCAGTAAAAATATCCTAATCATGATTCTTTTAGCCTGACATTTTTCCTAAAGTGACCCAAATGCATAAAAATTTAACTATTTTTGAACTCTTTTTGTACAGATGATGCAAATTTTTACATACTGAGGCTGTTTCAGGTCAAATTTGACCCATATTCAATGAGATGGATTTTAAATCTACCAGTGTGGCTTAAATCAAGGAAAATGGTGGTTTTAAGGAATCTTGAAATTGTACAGGACATGTTTTATGTGCAGTTTTTGTTTACATTTATTAATGTGACGCAGGCTATTGAGACATTTTAAGCAGATCTGCAATTTAAAGTTTGGTAGAGACACTATGAGGGAATTCTTGACAGTACGATCGGGGTCAAAACTGACCCAAACCAGACTGTGAAGTTGTTAAATATGAACAGTGTGTAAGAGTTAGCATTCGGACAGCACTACAAAATGGCAAACACCTTTTTGAGTGCACTATATCGGGTGTAGTGAGGTATTTTAGACTCAGCTATTTTAGCTTGTACCGGGCAAAAAAATGGCTGTTGTTGCTGTAACTTCAGCATTTGCCTTTTTCATTTCCAATCTTTTCCTGATTTATGCACCACTAGAACAAGGTCACTCTTACAGAAGTCCTTGCTAATTTAACAGAGATGAGATCACGCTGGTTTCGGTACCTGTCCATGGAGAGCTGAGCCACCAGCGTGACGTCGGTGTCGTCCTCGGTGGGCGTGTAGTCGTACTGCAGGAAGTAGAGGTGAACTCGGTGCACCGTCAGTCGCTCTCGGCGGAAGTCGTAACACTGATCGTCCTCGTCCAGCTCCTCCAGAGCTGACTGCAGCTGAGGAGACGCGCAGAACATTTTAAGGAGAGAGTTTTCATGCTTTACAGATACACTAAAACAACACAAGCCTGAGGAGTATTGTTACCTTAGCAACTACAGCTGTGTGTGGAGATGAATTTACATGTAGGAATCTATTTGCAGCTAGACCTCATCAGTATATCAGCAGGTTGACTTTGTTTTTAAATGAACCTTTATACACAGATCAATTTGCTGAATGTATCTGCTCTTTTGCAGCATAATTCAAAGATATTCAGTTTAGAGAAGAGTCACAGAGGAAAAAAAAACCCAGAAAACATTCACATTTCGGAAGCTGCAATCAGAATTTACAAACTGATTATCAAAATAATTGAGGTGCTTAATTGTAACAGCTCTACTTAAGGGCAAAACAAAACCGAACCAAAAGCAGAAATGTTGACGGATAATGTGCAGGTTCAGTGAAAAACAATATTTGATTTTAGTTCACGTGTTGTGTTTGTCATTGGTAATGGTGGATACAGTACAAATGAAGATGTTAGTTTATGTTCGCTTGTAAATTTGTTTTTAATTTTAAGTGATAATTTAATTTCCATGAACAAACACCAGCTTTGTTTTACAGGTTCACTATTTTCCAGCCTCGTAATTACAGCATATTTTAATGAAAGACTCAAACTAATTCTGCTAATTATAATACTAATTATAGGGAAAACAGTTACTACACGTTTTACATACTTGCTTGTTTTAGGTAAAGTGGAAAAAAAGTCAGTAAATTGATTCATCAGTTTTTACTACAACAACAAAAACTTTGTGAATGTCTCCCGGATATTAGCTGTAAAATACAAAACCTGTAAAATAAAGGCTTTTCAAAATGTCGTGTTGCTGTCAACTTTGATAACAAGTTTATTATTTAACAGTAAAATATTCTGCCAAGCAGCGATGCAATTTGAGCGATCCTTCAAATCTGATAATGTTTAATGTGGACTCTCGCCAAATGTTTCTTCCTCTCACAAATCAATACCAGCGGCGACAAGTTGGAGAAAAACTAAATGTTTTTCGTGTTCTAATGGAAACGTGTGTTAAATTGTGAGTATCTGCTGGCTGAGTGTGTTTCTAACCTGGACGCTCTCTGGACTCGCCTGACTCGGGCAGCCGAACAGCTCTCGTCTCAGCAGGTTGCCGTCGTACTCCAGGAAGGTCAGGTAGAGGTTCCTGAAGAACTCCACATGTTTGTTCTTCACGCGGAGCTTCTTGGGAGAGTTCCAGTGGATCACCTGGAACCACAACAAGGTTTCACTCACAGCAGCAGGTGGAATTAAGCACTGATCAAATCTTAATCTTTGAAGTCAACTACAGACCTTCAAACACTTAAATCTCTTCATGTCCTAATACTGTGGCTACATTTAGACTGGTGTGAATTTAATCACAGTTGCTGTCAGTTATTTGTCATCTTTGTTTATTCTTTTAAGAAACATCAGCTTATCTTCTCAGCCGTCTTTATTATGTTCCATATTTTTTGCACAAACTCTTGTTTAGTCAAGATTTATGTTAGTGTTTTAGTTTATATATTTATACATGAGGTGTGTCTATTAAATAATGATTCTGATGCTGTATTTCAATTCTATTTATTGTTTTTTAATTGGAGCAAATTGAAACTTTCAGGGATTATATTTGCTGCTCATTGATCAGTGGATACTTTGACTTTATTTAATAACCACATGTTGTATATTTATCCGAATGTCTTTGCAAATACAACATTTAGTTGTACAATTTTTACAATTTTTTTTTCATAAACAGTTTGCTTCTGTAATGTTGCGTCAATATAAAAAAAATGTTACACTCAGGTCGTTTATGACAAAAATGTTTTTGTTTTTTTTGTTTTTTTTTTTGAAAACTGGTATAAAAATATTATAGATTGATTCTATATTTATTTAATTCTCACAATTGCAAGCCTTTAGAAAATATTCTCAGATGAACGATTGCCGTGACTTTGTGCAATGCAAACAGGAAGAGGAAGCTTGGAGGGCAGCAACGAAAAGGAAGAAGCAAATAGCCTGGGGGTTTGAGGTGAAGAAACGATGGGAAATCAAAAGCAACATGGGCTACATGTGAGACACACGGAGGAAGAGAAGCAGGACTGTGATTTTTTGTAGCTAATTTGACAAAAATGGTGTTTTTTTATTTTTTGGGGGGGGACAGAACTGATCATGTCTCGTTTTATATTTCTTGTATACTTTGAAGAGTAAACTAAAATATTCTTCCCACAAATAGCTAAAATTCAACACATTGCCGTGTATGCAATGACTGCATTGTAGTACCAGTGTTTCAGCCTGACTTCAGTTGTGTCACTGACTAAATCAGCTTTGTTTGTTGTGAACTGATGTTAAAGACAATTTAAAATAATCAAAAAACAACAAAGAGTTTGCAGTGTTTTGATTTTAAAGGTTAAATCTGAATCTCTTATTCCTGGTTTGAAAAGCTCTAAAAACAACTTCCTTAATTTATTATGTTTGTGTTGCCTTTCATCAACAATCAGTCATTTATTTATGTTTTATGGAACTATTTAAAATAGGTTTTATAATTGTCTATCATTTTAAGGTCTTGCCCTGTAAAGCACTTTCTGACTTTGTTTTTTATTAATACTGTATGAATAAATTAATATATATTTGATTCTGTCCAGTATCTTTTCTCTCATTTTGTATCTCAGTGAGTAAATCAAGGCGGTGTTTTGAGGCGTACCTTGAGGTCGGACACCTCGGTGTAGCACTGCTCAGAGCGAGTGTGATCGGACAGCTGGACGTTCCAGAAGCAGGGCAGCTGGTGAACCAGGACCGGGTTCTGCTTTATGAAGGCGTTGAAGATGTCCTGAACACACAGACGACACACAGGTTTAACGACACCAACAACTTGCCCCCCTCCTGTGTTACCATGGAGATTTCCTTCTCTGTATGTGGACCTTGTTTTTTAAATAGAGTTAGCAAAATGTTGATAATAGGCAGCAAACTTTTGTGATTCCTGGAGCGGTGCCTGCCTCACTGGACCTGAATTGTTTGTTTTCCACCATAAATTGAGGCAAAAATGGTGCATGAAGGTTCCCGAGGATGCATTAAATTAAGTGCTTGATGCTCAAAGAAGGACACACAGACCCCTGTTCAAATACAAATATTAAACGATTCCTGTAAAAATGTAGTGTTTTTTGGAAAACTGCAGCAAGCTTTTACAGCATTTTGTGTGACTCCTCATTTCGCTGAATCTCTACGACGCACAGTTAGTCTGACTCATTAAAACACAGACGCATTAATGGTGAACACAGACGGCTGAAATAAATTGGATATTGTCCTTGAATATTTTTGTCATTTCAGTGTGACTGAAGGTTGTCTGTTGACACTTTGAGAAAGTGGTTGGAGGTGTCACTCACCTGATCAGCGAGCGACGTACTGAGCATGCTCATTAGCTCCCTCTCTGCCGTCAGCCGCCACATCTGCTCCCAGCCGATTCGCCGAAGCCTCTCCAGGTAGAGAAGAATGACGCCTGCGACAACGAATGAGGAGGAAAACAAACGTGACTTCATAAACAACAGGTCATCTCGTGATGTTTTGCTTTGCCTGGAGACTGAAACGCTGCGACTGTTTCTCCTGTGAATCATGAGTACCTGTGTTGAAGCCTCTCCCCAGCGCCGGCCAGGGTTTGTGGTTCTTCCACAAGTTGCCGAGGTACCAGTCGCTCTGGTTCTCCACCAGACCGATAACCTGCTTATCTGCAAACAGAACAGCAAACAAACATCAGAAAAATGTCTTCATCTGATTAATCTGCTTATTGTATTTTCCAATGAGTTGTTTTTTTTAAGAACCTGTCAATTCTCAGGCGAGTTCTCAAGTGTTCCCGTTCCTGCTCCGTTTAATCTGCTGTATGTCATCTTGTAGTTATGAGGATAATATCTTATAATCACAACCATGACTGTGAGTGTACATCAGGATCTTGTAATCACAACTGTTAATTGTTAAAAGCTAATTCGGTGTACTTAATTTTTCAAAACGTAACGAAATATAGGCAAAAAAATAAGGCTCAAATTACAGCACAGAGGAACCATTCAGAAGCTGCCTGAGGATCATCAGGTTTTATAGATTTCTACAGTATCAGAGTCATACAATGACAGTTGTCCATAGATCTACTGGAACATGACAAAAAGGAGTTGTTAATAGATAACTCTGGATACGTAACAAGTGCAACACAAGAACACAGTTAAGTCGAAAATGATTCATCTAGATGCCAAAATTATCTTTTTAGTGAATTTATATTTGGTTGTTAGGTTTCTTCTGGTTGGAAATGTCATAAACAAGTGAGAAGATATATTAAGATATTGTGTTAAAGATGCTGATGATGAATTTTAACCCTTAGTTTTACTAAAAATGATGTGTTAAAGTCTTTATTTGCCTCCACATCCATCAAACAGTTTTGTCATTGCTAAAAGTCTACATGTATCCTCTGGGAATGCGTTCCTCTTTTGTGATGATCTCCTGGTCTTTGAGGTTTGAAGGCTTCCTTGGCATCACTCTGGTCTTCAGTTCCTCCACACATTCTTGCCATTGACCATTTCTTCACCACTTGTTTCAGATCATTGTCTTGTTGGAAGCTCCAGTGCTGCATAAGGATCAGTTTTTCTTCAGTCTGCCTGATGTTTACTTTCAGAATTTCATCCTGTTTTCTCATGATGCTGTTTACGCTGATGAGGTTTTCTGGCCCATCGGCTGAGAAACACCCCAAAGCATCACATTTAAACCACCAACTTTGACCCCGGATGATGTTCTTGAGGTTGAGTCGTTTCACCACAGAAATGAAGTCCAGAAGCTTTCTTCTTTGTCCAGGCGAGCTTTGGTGAGAAATGGATTCCTCTTTGGCCGGAAACCTGCCTGGTTCACCACCTGCTGTAGTGTCTGATTGAGATGTTGCTGCCAGAATGGTTTTGTGGTTGATCCTTATGTTCCATTGTAGGAGTCACTTTTGACTTCCTACTGCAGCCTTTTATGAGATGTTTCAGTGTGGAGCTACTTGTTCTTTTTGATGCCTACTTTGCACCGTGGCCACTGGTACTTCAAAACACTTTATAGTATATATTAGATATGACTTTATTGCCTTTTCCCGTATTGTGAGCAGCCACAATGCACAACTCTCTCTCTCCATGATGGACCATAATAGCAAACTCATTGAACTCTTTGGTTTTTATGACTTGCAATTGACTAGTAAGTGAGTAGAGAACGACTGTATCAGCTGTTCTCAGGTTACAGTTTATTAGAATGCTCTAGAACATGGTGGACAGGACCAGAAGATGCATTGTCTGCAAATATTGCAACAATTTCAAGGGTATAAATAATTTTGGACAATGCATTTTAAGTAAAAAATGTATAAAGAAAACACAGAAATACTTAAAATTCATCATCAACACCTTTAACAAAATGTCTTCCCATCTTTTGTCACGTCTCTATGACTTTCCCCGCCAGCGAAAATCTACTGGTCAAATAAAAATGTACTAGAAATCTAAATGTGGCATGAATAATAATAATTTGGGGCTTAACTGTAAGTCAGTAACTTTTTAATTTCTTATTTTTGAATGAGTAAACAAACCCTTATTTGAGTATTTGTGTTAAACACCAAGTTTCCTTAATCATACACAGATTTAGACGTCTTCTGCATCAGTTTTTACAAACCTCATCAACATCCAGCTGGATGGTTGTACTTTGGGGGTTTGAACAAGGTTTGGACGCTTCATAAATGTGATTTAAAGGGTAAAAATGAAGAAGGTCTCACCGGTGAACTTCCTAAAAATGCCCCAGAGCTCAGCGATGTCAGTGGCGAAGGTGATGTCCGTGTCCAGGACGATGACCTTCGACAGGTCGGAGGGCAAAGCTTTGGTTAGCGTCAGCTTCATCAAGCCGTAAATACCTGAGTAGTGCTTGTTGGGTATCCACGACACCTCGGACTGAAACCACAAACACAAACATGGACTTTAAACAGGTGTTGACTCAGCTGCTCATCATGTAGGAGCAGAATTCAGCTCGTGGGTTAACACAAAGCCACATTCAGCATACTTTGGCAAAACCTCAATGTGTTTCTTTTTTTTTATTATTATTTCTTTATTTCTGAATCTGCAAATAGTGTCTTTTAATTAATTCTCCTGATTCAGAGTAATTGGATCTGCATAAGTGCATCATCTGCAAATATAATCGGCTTAGAGTCTCGGCTGTTTTTCCCCACTTTAATGTGAGTTAATGGAAAGCGAAGAGAGAAGCTGCAGGTCGCAGCATCTGGCAGCACAAAGGACTCATTGTCGAGCACAAAGACTGCGAGGGAGGAGAATGTGATGATGTGACGGAGGGAGATGCAGGTTGGAAACACAAACACTGATTCATGCTTGTTCTCCACGTCCTCGTCACTCTGAGAGCGCATTCATCAACCCGACGTTAAAGTAAATTATTTGGTGTTTTTGGGCTGAAGTGTCTCTTGACTCGACTCGTCTGACTCGATGAGCTATTGTTGCTGTCGGCTAAAAGCTGCTCTGCTGATTGTTGTGTTTCAACTGAAGCTGACAAACGGCTCGGAAGCTCAACTGCTCTGCGCTCAAACGTTATGAGATACAGAGAGGAACACCAGCACGGTTGCAAAAGAGGAAACTTGTACTTTTGTTAATCTTTCTGATGAAATGTATGGTCTGTTAATATCAGAAACTTCCTCCAGATGCTAGTTTCTGCAGTGACTTGTTCTCTATGACATTTCACTCACGATTGGTCAAGCTGTGTAGAGGTGACAAAATATTTTTCTACATGATGCAAACAAATTCAAAAAGTATGACGCCATCGACTATCCACTTCTCTGTCATGGCTATTTGTAAAGATTACAAACTAACGATGACCCGGTCAAATTTTTTTGTTCCCAGTCTGATCTAAGTCATTTAATATTTAGTAGTAGTACCTGGTTGTACCACCAGGTGGAGCCTCTTACTGTTTGATACAAAACTGACTGGCAGGCGTAAAGTGAGACACTGATCAGACATTTCAGTAGAACATTTTCTTTTTTAAACATTATTGCATGGCAACAAATATATACAAAGAATCTGGCATAAATTCAGACTGATATCAACAATGTTAATATTCCTGACATCCGGGGCAGAACATCCCTATTACATACTATAAACACTTAATTTCCAACATGGTTGTGTGCAACAGACATGAGGACCTATTGGCTAGTTTTGAATGTATTTCACTGCTTAGGTTGCGCTAAATTTAATTGGAAAAAATTAAGCGTTAAAGCTGTAGTGTCCAGTTTAATTGGTTAGTCAATGTGCTCTCATCCAACCAACATCTCATTGGTGTCAGTCGCTGGTGTTATTTTCATAAGAGAAAAAAGTGCTACATTAACAGCCTTTTTAGAAGTAATCCATTATTTTTGGCAGCAGGAGGAACAGACTAACCTGCATTTTCATGACTTTGAACAGGCCCAACCTGACGGAGACTGCTGGATCTATCTCATTCAACTTTAACTAAACATTTACTCAGAGTGGGCTCCAAACCAACCGTCACAGAAGCTGTGGTTGCATTTTGGCCATAAAGTCGAAGGGGAACTTCGCAAACAGAAAGAAAAAGACTTGTCTCTGTTCCAACTTTCACATTTACTGCTTGAGACATTGAGTGTGAACAAAATAAAATGGTTATATCTCAATATATTTGATCTAATATTGGTTGTATAACAGCAGGCGCATCTCCAGCATCTGTCAGACGAACCGAGCTCAATGTGAAGCTTCTTTTCTCTTGGTGTCACGATGGGAACTGTCAAATTAAACAAGCAGGTTCAAATGATTTAATACGCCTTGAATAGTAGCCTTTTATGTTTATTTATAATTCATTTGGGCTAATAAAGTATGCAGGAAGGGTGCATTCAGTGCACGGTGCCACATTTAGTTCATCTACAGATAACGTGCAGATTTTTTTTCTTCCTGGTACAAGCTGTGATGTTGTCATATTGGACCATGTTACAAACACTGTGTCGAGGAAATATTACAGCAGCTTCCAAAGAATGTGGAGGAAAAACAAACACGCTGCTGGATCGCTGGTAAATTTAATACAAGTTTAAACGTTTTGATACGATTTTTCATGTCATGTAAAACTCTTAAGTCCTACTTCATTCAAATAGAACAGCTTCCCAGAGATGAGACTGAGACGTCTCCTTAGAAGGACCTTCAGGCTCCATTACGTTTCATAAGTTGAGCAAAGAGCCTCTTCAGACTGAAACGCCAAGCCTGACGTCTCTATTTTTGACTCTTGTCGTGCAACAGACACATCTCGCATCACTACGAGCAGCTGTAACTCTGAACACAAAAGAATGTAGCTTCTCTGGAAACGACTAAACGTGACAGCGACTGATCATTAAAAGAAGATCAACAGATGATTGACTTGGCTTTACTTTCGCGACTGAAGGATGTTTCTCATCTATTATGGACACGAGACATTCACGCGCTTTAGTCAGAAATCACTTTGTTGTGATGAACTTTAGAACCCGTCTTTTTGAACTGTCAGTGTGAAATCGAGGCTAAGCCGAAGCGCGACCCTCCACCTCCTCCTGAAGTAACATCACACGGCTTTAACGCCGCTCTGATCTCCGTTAATGTGACAAACGATCTGACAGGCGCACAAAGACACAAGCTGTGACCTCCTGTTTCACACTCCGGCTGATGTATCCTCAGCGTTTCCACTCTCTCTCTTTGATGCTCGGCGACTCTGCTGCTAAAGGACACTCATGAATACGTTCCTCTGCATCCTCACAACTCGGACTGTGCGTGTGTTTTTTTCTTTGATGTGAGGTGTGACTTTGCTGCGCCTCGTCCTAGCGGAGAGACGTTTCGTGTTTTCATTCTTACCTTGAGTTCATCTGCGTCGTAGAAGCTGACTTGCACGGACGGAACCATCCAGGACTGGAACAGGGAGCTCAGGATGCGATTGGCTACTGTGTCGGTGATGAAATGAAAGTGGAGCGGATTTCTCCTGAAGATGGACACAAAAAGAAAGACGCCAAGGTCAAGGCCAAGCTGACGCTGCTCTTCCTCAAACATTCAGGTTTAGTGTTTGGTGCAGGTTCACTGGTAGAAATATTCAGCTACTCAAACCATGAGGATACTGTGACCTTAAGCATCCACCAGCTTTACACAGACACAAAGGTCCCAACATCAAAATCTGAGTCTTTTATTTCATTTTTAAGATCTAACTTTGCCTCAAAAAAACCTTTTAGTTGATAGAATTCTGTTTATGTTGCCTGTAGCTTTGGGGAGAGGGCTTTATATTTACTTTTAGCTTCTTTTCTCTGATGTACACAAGCTGCCTTACTAAGGCTGCGTTGGTCCACAGACCTACGAAGGCGTCCTGTGGTATCAGGCACCAAAATGTTAGCAATAGCTCCTTTAGGTTGCGAGATGGAAGCTTCATGGATTGGACTTCTTTGTCCAACACATTCCAAAGATGCTGAATCAGATTGAATTCTGGGGGATTTCGAGGTCAAGTCAACCTCTTGAACTCTCTGTCATGAATGTTTCCAGTATGGTAGGAAGCATTATGCTGCTGGAAGAGGCCATGAAGGGTCGGCAGCAGTGTTTGGGTTAGTGTTAAAGTAACATCCACACAAATGTAGGGTCACTCTGCCTCCACCAGCTCGACTTTTTCCACACAGTGCATCTTGCTGCCATCGATTCCCAGGTAAACAACACAAAAGCACCCGCCTGGCTACATGATGTCAAAGAAAGTTCATCGGACCAGGCCACCTTCTTCCATTGCTCCGTGGTTCAGTTCTGACGCTCACGTGTCCCCTGTAGGAGCTTTCAGTGGTGGACAGGAGCTGACATGGACATTCTGACTGGTCCAGTACTCTGTAAGTTCTGACACATTTCTATTGCAGCAGCATGAAGGTTTGTGCTACAGAAGCTCTTCTATGAGATCAAACCACACGGGCCGGCCTTCCCTCGCATCCATGACCCAGTTTCCAGTCATCCTTCCTTGGATCACTTCTGGAAACCACTGCATACTGGGAACACCTGCTGTTCTGGAGTTGCTCCGACCCAGTTATTTAGCCATCGCAGTTCGTCAAAGTCACTCAGGCTTTTGCACTGCGCATTTTCTGCTTTCATCACATCAACTTCAAAAACTATCAGCTCACTAGAACCCACCTACTGACAGGAGCCACTTTAACAAGACTCACTCACTTCACCTGCCAGTGTTTTAATGTTGTTTATCTGGGAACATGGAGCTAAAAAGGTATTTGTAATATGTGGGTGTTTTTGTGACCATACATACCATTTTTATGTCATATAATTGTATTTTAAAATGTGCATATGCCTTCTGTGCCATTCTTGTACATTCTTCCTGTGAACAGGCCTGATGATACATGATCTGAAACCAACAAACACTAGAAGACACCAGCTAGAACTTTTTAAAAGAGGTGAAAGATGTCTTAAATACAAGGACACTTTACTCTGAAAGGTCCAGATACCAGAGCAGCTACTTAGAGGATTTTCTTGCAGGATTCAGCTTAAATCATGGCTTAAAAAAACATCAAATAAACTTTCAAATCAGCAGCACGTTTGACAAAATTTCAATAAATTGATGTTCGAGATTTTAAAATCATCTATAAAAAGGCACAAAAGCAACAAATCACAGAACTGACTGAGCTCCAAAACGCTGAAAACAATGAACCTACCGAGTCCTGAGTGTTAAAAACAGCCCTGAAACTCTGCGCCCACACAGACACAGCTGATCACATTTATCATTTTAGAAACTTTAATGTGGAAAGTTCAGGGTTTTTCTTGACGTAAGTTCAGTTTCATTAAAGGTCGTCCTTTCATTTTCTTCTGAATATTCTTTCCAGTGTGCTTCTGTGCAACGGGTTTTCAAGGCCGGTACAAATCTGGGTTACGGCCGCGCTGACTTCTGCTTCAAAGGGAGAAAGAGGAGCTGGAGTAGAGTCGACACACATTTGGAAAATGAAGAGAAACTCACCTGTGAAAAAGGACCGACTTGACCAGCGTGACCACGTCTCTGCTGGCGTTGTGACCGGCACAAACGCACGCTACATGGATCAACTGCACAAACACAAGAACAGGAAGAAGAAGATGAGTTTCACCAAACAACCAGGAGTTATTTTCTTCCAGCTGTCGACACTCTTGACTCTCTGGGTGTTGACAGGTTTCATCACAAACTCACAGCGGTCTCGTGTCTCTGTGTTTTTTTTATCGCATTGAATTAACAGTGAATTTATGCAGAGTGTCATCAGTTTCCTCCCAAAAAAACACACACACACACAGAAGTGTTACTGTTGTGAAGCAGTTCACCCCACGACACCTCTGCCGTTGAGTGAATCCGGGACGCTCGCGCCCCCCTCTCCCCGTCTCTGATGTGAAATTTCATATTTAGCTCCTCAAATATGTATGATTTCACGTCACTCGCTTTTCAGCAGCAAAAGTCTTTGAAAAGTTGGAGCTCAAAGGCTGCAAACGACATCAAAGAGGAAAGCGTTCCCTCGGATTTCAGTCGCTGTCAGCTCACCTCTGCCTCTGCAGCGACCTGCTGAGCTTCACTGGTGACTTTACAGGGACAATTAACTGTAAAATACCTGGTCGTGACTGTCCATGAGTGCGTTAGGGGTAATAAACTTCAGGTAACCATAGTAACGAGACTGATGCTTGATATTGTGAAGCAGATTAGAACCTGAGCACTGAAACTGAAAACTAAAACATCTAACAAGCGTGTTAATGCAGTCAGAGGTGTAGAAAACAGCCGTCTGCTCTTTTATTCGGGTCTATCAGGACCTCCTGTATGGAGTCACAGGAGTGCAAGAAATATAGTAACTCTGCAAAAGCATGAAAAATATAAAAAGGATTAAATAAATAAAGTTAAAAAAATTATTTAAAAAAAATGAAACAAATGTAATAAAACAAAACATGTAACAGAATAATTGGGTAAATTGAAAAATGGAAAAATATATGTAAAATAAAATAAATAAAAGAGACAATTAAAAAATGTTGGACTATAAAAACAAATAAATGAGAAACAAGAAAGAATAAAAAGAATAAAGCCAATAAATAAATGGGGAAATATGAAGACAAAGAATAAATAAGTAAATGTAGAAATCTGGAAATACGAAGGAAATATAGGAAAAAAAATAAAATTAAAATATAAATTTAGTAGTAAATTTATTAGTAGTTATTAGCATTAATTTATTAGTAAATTAATAGTAAATTTAAAATTATGAAAACATAAAAACAATATGTAAAGACATGTTTAATAATAATTTAATTTGTATTTCATAAATATAGAAACAAATATATAAAAATGTAAATGAACAAATATGTTAAAATCCATATATTTATTTATTTTACATTTTGCTGTTTCTCTTTATATTTGTTTTCTAATGTGATTTTAAAGATGTATTATAATTGAGGTGCTGCTGAGCTCTTTTATAAATGTGTTGATCAGCTGTGTGTTTCCTGACCTCACACTTCTGGACGGTGGGCGATCGAGGACACTCCGTGTGGTTGTTCTTCTCCTCCGCCGTGTTGTCGCCGTCTTCCGGCCCCGTGTCCGCGGATGCGCCCCACTGCTGGTTGCCATAGTTACCGTCCGGAGGCTGGGCGGCGGTGCCCTGCGATTGGCTGAGCTGCAGCCGGATCTGCCGGTTCTCCTCCTCCACCTCTCGGACCCGGGACTCCAGGACGGCTCGCTCCAGGACCTGGGCGGCCGGCGTGTCGGCCAGACAGGGAGTCAGGAGGAGGGAGCGTCCATCTGGGGGACGAGAGGGAGGGTCAGAGGAAAGACAACATGCAGGCAAATAAAAAAACTCTGCAGCGTCACCTGCTGGAGGACTTAATGTGTTAAAGAGGAAACGTACTGCTTTTTGTTTAATTCTGGTCAACAGCTGCATCTAAAAGGTCTACAAAAAGGGAATTATCAACATGACCTCCTTGTTTCCTTCAAACAGACCAGAGTTTGGGCTAAGTCTTAGCTTATAAAGAGATTTTGTCAAATAATTCCAAAGTTTGTAGTTATAAACCAAACTAAATATAAATCTGCATGACAAAGTTGTTACATGTGAAATAAGTAGCTTACTTACTCAAACTCAAGCCGCTCTAAGTCAACTGTTAGTATCAAAATAAGTAGCAACATATATGCATTTTGAAGTTTTTAGGCCCCAGTGTTGCTTTGTCATTCATAAAAAATCTCTTTCTTGTATTTTACCTACAAAACAGTGCATCATGTCTACGCTGAAAGTCACTGAAAGGCATTTAAAAACTCTTCTTTTACCACCACCAGAAAAAAAAATTTATATCTGCATCATGAATAAACAATAAGTTTAAATAAACTCTTGAATTTTTTATTTTTTGGCAAAATGATTTACTGTATTTAGGGTTTAATGGAGAAAAAACAAATGTGTAATTTGTTCCTGTAAATTAAATATTTGAATATACTTTGTCCATTAATTGAATTACTTCTTCAGTTAACTGCACAACAGTACAGAAGCAATAATCTATTATACGATGTAGTATTTTGATGTAAAGCTGCAGTGAATTAAGAACTACAGTATTTTCCTCTGAAATGTAGTAAAGTTGACGTATAAAGTAGAATAAAAGTACCAGACTGTACATAAGACACACAAAGGCATTAAAACTGAGACATTTTCACCAGGAATCTGATGAATTTATGTCTTTGCCTGTTTATTTTGCTGCCTCCTGAAGGACTTTGTAGCTTTAATTTTAAGGAAAAGTGCTCTATAAATAAAGATTGTTAGTATATTATAATGAGGACAACTTGAGTGTCGACGGTTAAGCTGCCAACACGTTGTCTTCTGTGGCTCCAAGTCTAATCCTGAACTCATCACCTCTCAGACCTCAGCGATGCTGCAGTCATGTTTTCTAGTTTATTGTGAAAACATGCTGACAATCCATCAGCGGTTCCTTCTCCTGAGAGTCACACTTGAAAATTAGCTCATCACACGTCGTCTTCTCGTCTTTCTCCACCCTCCTCCGTCTTTTTCTGACAGACTCTGGTGTGAACACTGAGGCCGGCTGCGCGTTTGTTACTGAAGACAGTAATAAGATGAGCGCCGGCAGAGACGCATTTGCTCTGAATACATTTCTGTCTCGTCATGTCTGCAGGATAATTTTAGACCGAGTTCAGTCTTCTGAGCTCTCGTCAGAAAAACAAATATTCAGACTGTAACTGGCTGTGAGTTTTAGCGTGTTTGCACGGATGCGATCAGGTTCAGATTGGCTTTTGTTGTGCCAGAACACTGAATAATCAACATTATTTGTTCTGCAGAATGTGCGGTATGATGCTGCTGCTGTATTTTCTTGTTTGTGCAGTTTGTTCACTGCTGCTCTGTGACTGCACATAGACCTTAGCTATCACCTACTGAAGGACCTCTGAACTTAGACTTTTTTTTTTTTGCATACATCATCCCTTACATATAAAACAAATTATTAATATTAACAACAAACCCACAGAGAAAGAAACCTGTTACAAAGCTATGGAGAACGTTTCACTCTTTTGTAACCTGTTGACCTTTTTGTTCTGCAATGGCTTAATCCACATGAACTGGGGTATTTTTTTCTTAAAGGTCCAATATTTTTTTTCGTTTTTCAGTGTCACATGCCTCCACGGTGTGTCTTTCAAGGTTTCTGCTCAAAATACCGCAGTGATGGTTCATTTTAACGAGACTGTACGACCTCTTACTTTAGTACTTTTCAGTCACTACCTGTCCCATGTCTGACAACAGAAACTGAAAAACTGTGTAAATGCAAACTGCTTCACTGGGAATTCAGTTGTTTATGTGAGCACAGAGAGCAGGAGAGAAGCTAACAGATGTAAACAACAGCTGAGTTTAGGTTAAACTAAACACAACAAGCAACAAGTAAACACATTAACCCAACCACTCTTTGTTTAATAGTTATAAATTAAAGTTAAAGCTTCCACCATCAATGCCTCCAGACAGCTGTGAGCTAATGGTAATGTTAGCCACATTAGCTGCCCAACATGCTATCCATGCATTCTCCCATTCATGTGGGCACATTGCCGTGAAAAATGAATCCACTGAGATCCTCAGATGCTGGAGTGCATGAAGACTCTTACGTTCACTCTTGCCATCAACAGCAAAACAAACTTCTCTTCAACTTCTGTGTAGTTGTGAAGCTGGGATGCTAACTACTTGTACGAGGGGCTTTAAGGATTGCATAGTTAACATCTTCTTATCTTAACAGCTTATATTTTACACCTCCAAGTTTAGAACAACCGCAAAGCACAATAACGTAGATTTTCACCATATGGGACCTTTAAAACCAAATTTTTCTTCCCCTGTCCTTCCAAGAAACCTCTGTCCAAATGAAAAATGTAAAAACATGATTGAAGAACTGTCAGGAACCAAACCAACACATGGGTCCAACAGAGGTCTGAAAAACGCTGCTAGCTGTTCCAAATATTTAGTCCTAAAAATTGACTATCAAGAAAGACAAGACTTATACATGTGGACTGGATCTGATGCCTCTGTTCTTATACATTTACGTAAAAACATGCAAACATCCAGTTAGCACGGTTAGCGCTAGCCTTATTTGAGCCACACCGACCATGTAAACAACAGCAGGTAACAACACACCCTTTGACTCTGACCTAAAACAGTGTTTAAGTGACTGAAAAGGCTCAAACGCAGACAAAAGCTGTGTTTTAAATAATAGCCGTGTACATGTAGACACAGTCTGAGTCACAACCGCCAGAAACAGACAACAGCAGCGTTTGATGCTTCTCTCCTCATTTTAACCTCAGACTCTGTGCAGCAGCATCATAATGGAAATGTTAAAAGCACTGAGGGCAGTTTAAAAAAAAAAGAAGCACGGCTCATGTTTTCTGGTGAATATTTAAATTTGCCAGCAGCTTAATGCATCACACACACAGAGACACCATCTTATTCCTGTGTGTTGTCTGAAGACACACCGTAGATTAATGTAACTCAGTCTAACATAAAACTGTCCTGCAGCCTCAAATACTCACTACAACACCAAATGTGGATTAATCCGCCACTGAAAGTAGTCCCTAATGAATGTGTATTTACCTTCTGTTTAAATAAAAACTACAACAATCATCCTCCATTGTTGTCATTTCCTCCTTTCTCCTGACCTTTCACCCCCACATCGACACATTCTTCTCATATTCTGTCTTCCTCCTCTCCTTCCCATACATTCATACTCCATTCCTCCCCCCTTTCCCTCTCTATATATTTTCCTCCCTGTCTCTCATTCTTCCTCCCCCTCTTCCTCTCTCAGTCTGTCTAGCAGCAGCTGGCCCACAGCTGAAGTGAGGCATGATGGGAATGTTCCCACCCTCAGCAGGAACGATGGAATCATGTTCGTTCATAACTGATTCCTTCTTCTGATTTTTTATTTAATATTCTTGTGTTTATTTTTTCTAAATTATTTATTTGCAACACTTTTTTTCCTGTGGTGAATCAGTCAAACAGCTGTACTGTCTATGCTGTATGTTGCATACAGAAGAAGTATTCACATCATTTATTTAAATAGAAACACCACTCTGTGTATAAGTGCAGAAGTATAATCTGCCAAAGAATGTATTTTTAGTTATATTATCAGTTGCTATACGATAGGACTGTTGTTACAGATGCAAGAAAGAGATAAAATTCTGATTTCTGTGTGTCTTCCTTCCTTCATTCATGCTTTTTTATTGCATGTGCAAACCTCTGCAGACTTACAAAGCTCACAATTACAAGATACTTCTAAGGGTTACAATATTTTTTGCATTCTGTTTGACCAAACTAATTATACGTTACTGTTTCAGTGTTTAACAGGTAAATTCTTCAGTCAGATTTCCTAAAGGTTGAGTTTTCCAGTCTGGACTCTGACATGTAAAACGTAGTGACACAGACATGATTGACTTTGAGATAATGTTGCTTAAAGAGCCCATATTCTGTTTTTTGGGAGGTTCCTTCAGTGTTATATTGCAGCTTTATTTGTTCATGTTAAAGGTCTTCAGACACCAAAGGCAGGTGTTGCCTCTCAGAAAAGTCCTGGTTTGAAGCTGTGATTTTTTCTGTTTCGTATTGCCATGGACCACATGTACATAACACCTGATTAGCAGCAGATTAGTCTCTTAAACAAAGAATGAGAAGATTTCTTACAGTTTGCAGGGTTTTAAATTCATGCAGTAGATGTCAGATGTAATGCAGTAAAATATAAAGTAGCTTTACATGGAAACAAGCACAACTAGCTTAGAACTATATGTAAATACATAACTGGGGTGAATGTACTTTAACTTGCACCTCTGTGTACAGTGTAGAATTTGTAATAAGAAGAATTCTATTATTATTTTATGTATTAATCATTGTTTGTTTTATTAATTAAATTATATTGGAATTCTGGACATTGCATTTTTAAATTTTATCATGCTAAACTCTATTTTTCCACTTTTTGCTGCTCTGGTAATTTTTTACTTTCTGTTTGGCCCGATTGGCTTTCTGTTGTGACATTCCTGAGCATCATTTGTAAAGGTGCTACATAAATAATGTTATTATCATTATTATAAAGTCATCATATACTGTAGTTATGTCTTACTGTACTCACATTATAAGTCTTGTAAAAACAGGAAACAATCTGTTAAAGAGCAAAGTGGAGCTGAATGGACGGATACAGTGACCACAATCTGATCTGCAGTCAGTCACATGCAGCCAAAAGGAAACGCTGGTTATTTCGGAAGCGATGAGCTCCAACAGCTCACTCCATCACTTTTAACACTCTCAGCTAAAGTGGATCCACTGCAGCGAGACAACTCATCAGTCATCCACGTGTTCGAGCCTCGACAGAGTGGAATCCTATTTTGCTGCTCCGCCTGCCCTCCAAGAACCGCTGCTAACCCCAACACATACATCAAATATTAACTGTATCGCCGGGACCTCGGTGTGTGTGATATCTAAGAAAAACACACGCAGCCTGCAGTCGTACTGTACCCGACCACGGCTAATCGGTGTGATAATGGGACTTTAAATTCAGCAGTAAAGGGAGGAAATCAGCTCAGAAAGAAACCTGCTGCCACACTGGAAACTCCTGCAGGACGCTTCAGTCAGAGCCGAGTCCAGAGCTGCATTATATCCATGAAGGTCCTCTGCTTTCCATTCATCCTAACAGGTCGCTCTCATTTCTGAGTGAGCACAGTCTCACGAGTTTCAACTCTGCAGTATCATTTTTAACATGGTATAAATCTAAATGTATGCAAGATTGTTGTGCACTGACGATTTAATGTACAGTAAGTACGTTTTGCTGTTTGTAATTTAAACGATCAGCAACACATTAACCGATACGGCCAAAGACGAAGGACGTGCATGTCGGAAAATATAATGTAGATCAGCTGTAGTACCCGCTTGTACCACCAGGTGGAGCCTCTTCCTGTTCAGTACTGTAGCAACCAGATGAGGTCATCACTCAAACTTTGGCAGGGTTTCCGCAGGGCATTAAAAAGCATTAATAGTCATTACATTGATTTTGTAAAAATTAAGGCTTTAAATAGCATTAATAAGCATTAAATCTGGTAAACAGAGGCATTATTTAGCATGATTTTTACTGCAGTTAAAATTTTTATGATTACTATCATTATGCACTAATGTTTCTATGCACAATAGGTATGTTTTGCCGTTTATAATTTAACCAATTAAAACTACATTAACCAATCTGCCAGAAGGCAAAGGAAAATGTAAGGTAGCTAACCTGTAGTACTCCTACTACTAGTCCTCTTACTGTTTGTTTGCAAGAAAGTGAATTTATGGGGGTTTATCAAGTAAAGGGCCACCATGACAAATACTTCTGGGATGTTTAATGACCGTGCATGTTCACTGCTTTCTATTAACCTCACTGCAGTTAAACAGGTTGCTTTCACCCCGACCATCTCATGAGTTTAAACTTCACTGTATCACTTTCAATATGGTTTAAATGTTTATATGCACAGTAGGGATGTTTTGCTTTTAATATTTTCAGCAAATAAAAACATATTACCCAATTAGGCAGAAGACGAAGTACATATATGCCAGAAAATGTATTGTAAATAAGCTGTAGTACCTGCTTGCGCCACCAGGTGGAGCCTCTCTTGTTTTAAACTCGAGCACCAGAGGACGAGGTCGAGGTTGGATTACAGGCAGTTCAGAGTTGGCAAGCAAGTGTGTTTGTGGGGGTTTATCTAGAAAAGGGCCACCATGACAAAGACTTATGTGACGCATAATAACTACAGGTCAGTAGGACAGTTTCCTTTGACCTCGTGACATTTGGAAATCAGCTGCTTTTACGATTTAATATGTTACACTGTTTCCTCACACGTTACAGCAGTGAGTTAAAAAATAAGCAGAATAAACTACAAGACAAGAAATAAAGGTCATAACAGACTTTGTACACCTTCCACATACAGGTAGTTGCACTAAACTGTAGGACTAATGCGGTGTGAACAATTGTACATAAAAAGTTGTGAAGATAACTTGTTACTGCACTGGAAAAGTTATAAAGAGGAAACTAGGCTTATATTTTCTTATGTGGGTTTGTGGGTAATGTCATCTGCCATAGATGGAAGCAACAATATCAGCATATGGAATAATGTCTTCTTTCCATAGTTTGTGTTATCAGTTATTCCATAATTGATTGAAAACGCTGCTGATTATCAATGAAGAGAACGATTCAATAACATTTAATATCAGGTTTGACTGCAAACACAATCAAACCTTATTCCTAAATGTTCACATTATTTTAGTTACATTCCTATATTATTATTTAATCTACCCAACACATCATTTTCCCTGCCAGGACACTTTAATGCCATTTTTCAAGCAGCTGTGGCCTTTTCTCTGTCAGCTCTTTTCTATTTTTTTCCCATTCTTTTCTCTTTGCTTTGGTAATTTGACTAAATGTCAGTGAAAAAGAGGGTCGCCCCTCAGTGATCCCTCGAGTATAAATAAAGGTTGAATGAATGTATTAAAAGATGACATTTCTGTGTTGTTCTTTGTTTGTTTATATAGAATAATCCTGCACAATATTATTTTATACGGTTCAGGGATTCTCTGCAATATCTGAATTTCTACATGTGGAACAATCTTATGTACGCGTGTATATTTCTCGTTTATTTTTATTTTCTTACATTTCTACACTATCCCCCATGACACAAACTTCCTCTTTGTGGGATCAAATAAGGCTGATCTTATCTTATATATAAAACTGCGCTTTAGTTTGTCTCTAACATCGTTTGATATAAAATGACTTCCTCAGGAAACCAGGCTGCATTTAATAACATTAAAGCGTCAGCGCTAAAATGCTAACCTGCATCCAGGATCTGCTCATTAGATTTTAATGAAGTGATAAATGAGAGATTGGAGGATTACTAAAAAGCAGGTCAGAGAAAGGTCTGCACACTTTTAGGCTCCAAATCAGTAAATTAATACCCTTTAAAAGCATTCACTTCAAAGGCAACATTTCAATCCAACAGATGAGCAATCAGAGGATCAGTGAAACCATCCACAGGAGATTTCAAGTGAATTTATCTTGAAAAAAAGAAAAAGGTCAATTAGTTGATTAACAGAAAATAATCAGCAACTACTTTATTAATTGAACAGGTAAAAAAATACGAGATTGCTGGATTTTAGGGGTGATTTTTGGATGTGGGTCCCAAAAAACACAATTTTTTTTTTTTAATGTTTCATAAACTAGACGATAAATCAGAAAAGAAATTCTCATTTGCTGCTACTTGCCTGATTTAGGTTTTATTTTTACGTAGCTGTATGTTGTTTAAGGTTTGATTGTGATTAAATAAGAATAAAATCTATAATCAGTCTGCATTGCTCGAGACACTGCAGCTTTAAAGCCGATGTGATTTAAGGCTGCTGTAGACGTGACCTCCCGCTCGCCTCTCGAAGTATGTGTTTGTTATTAAAGCTTTTCCACAAAACCGTTGTGATCTAAACAAAAGCGCTGACTGCACCTCGTTGGCTGTTTGAGACGTCAGAATGAAAAATCAACCCGAACAGAAAATGGCCTCCGTGTGTTTAAAAATTGAACTTAATAGTCAGATCGAAGGGGAAAACATCTGATAATTGATGTTTTCTGTTCTCGTTGGATTCTTGCGACTCTGTCTGACCCAAACCACAGCCCCCAAGTCTTTAATTATAAATCAGCTTTTGACTTTTTCAAACCCAATATCCATGAAAATTGCACAGCGAGGGCTCTCGGATTGCACTGAATAATGAAAAGTGTTTGGCTGGTGCGTGTCGGAGCGCATTCCTACTCACTCTCCAGGTTTCCAGCCAGCAGGTAGAGCCAGGTGAGCAGGACGATGGCCGTGAGAGACGCCACCAGCAGCTTGAGGCGGCCGCGACACAGCAGGTTCATGGTGGGACGGCGGCGAGGGGTCGGGACGAGGACGAAGGAAAGGGAGGAGGGGGTTCAGGTGGGTTTCAGTCCCTCATCAGGTCCCCGCAGCATCCTTTCATCTGAGGAACAAAACACAACTCAATCAGCGCACTGGAAACTTGTACTTTTCTTAAAGTGATGTTTGTGGAGAAACTGTCATCATTCCAGAGCTGCAAACTGCTGGGTTCTGGTCCCACAGTGGTCTGCAGATTCCTTCTGAATCACTCACAAGTCTGTGGTTTGCAGAGCTTTTGCAGATCCAAACTGTTTGGAGCTCATCTGAACCAGATCTGCGGTAAATGTCCCCGAACCCACAGTGTAGAAGACGGAACCCAAAAGGCAGCAGATACCATTTAGAGCTGACGTACAGACATGTAGAGCACTCAGATCTGGTCTAACACGATCCACGTGTTGTACCAACGTTCATCAGGAGTTAGAGTGGATCAGAACAACCTGAACCTTCAACTAAAACGTGCAAATTGAAAAGAAGCTGTTATCTGTGCAATTTAACAACTCTAGCAGCAAAAACAAAACCTGATTAACACTCTGAACTCCAAACAGTTTCTGGGTGTTTTTTTTTGTGCTCTGGTCACATTCTTCACTGCAGTATGAAGTCCTGCGCCGCTATGGAAACAACACAACCATGACTAGGAGGAGAGAGAACTCAGACATGTCTTCTGTGCAGTCTGGCACACTTATAAAATCATGAATGATAAAAAATAAAGAACCATAGTTTTGTCCTCAAAAAGTGACAAAAGGAGAATCAGCAGTCCAACATTTGTTACAAACACTGGGAATGTGAAACAGCAGCTCCACATGTTATACATATTTAAATATTTACATTTTTACTAACTCTGCGTTTATCACTCCACGCTACACATCACTCCAGAAAGATGTCACAAAGCTGAATGTATCTTCCATCAACTTGCTGACAGCTGTCTCCTCTGGATGTTGTTTTTTGTGCCATGGTGCATTCATTTTTTTGATAAAGTATGTTTTGGGGTTTTTTTTCCATCTCAGTCTCTTTAATTTATTTCCATACTCGTCTCCTCTCTGCTCCGTGGAAACACGGCCTAAAGTTTATTCACATTTTTACTAAACGTCTGTCACGAGACTGTTGGACACAGCTGAGAAAACCAAAATGAGGGACAAGTGCCTGCAAAGAGACACAGAACAACTACAGAGACACAAAGAATTCCCACAAGGGCACCAGAGAGACACAGAATGACCACGAAAAGGAAAAAAAAAAAAAAAAAGACAAGATATGCAGAAACAGACACAAAAACTACTAGAAAGAAACACAAAATATACAGAAAAAGACACAGAATGACCACAAAAAAACACAAAATGACAAGACAGAAACACAAAACACACAGAAAAAGACACAAAAAGACCACAAAAGGACAGAAAATTACCAGAAAGAACCACAAAATGCACAGAAAGAGACAAAAAAAAGACCACAAAAGACTAAAAATGACAAGAAACATGAAATACGCAGATACAAAATGACCACAAAAAGACAAAAAAAATGTCAAGAAAGACACAAAATATGTAGAAAAAGACTCAAAACAACCACAAAAAGACAGAAAATTACCAGAAAGAAACACAAAATGACCAGAAACAGACAAAATGGGAACAGAGAGGCAGAATTTTCTCCGTATTTGTAGGATTCTGTGCTGCCACATGATTGGCTGATTAGATGAATTAAAATGTTTTCCTTACAGTGCTCAGTGAGTAAATGTTTCTGAATCAATATTTTAACTGACATCACACATTAGACAGTGATGTGACGGCGCTTCACCTGTTTGAATGAACCTGATTTAAGATTTAGTGGTAACAGCTTCACAGCGGCGCCTCGTTCCTTTTGTTTGACAACCTGATGGAGATGCAGTTTGACATCCGGCTGCATAAAACATGAGATTAAATAAAATAAAGATCAGTGTGAAACTCCTGTCGCCACTGTTCAGTCTCAAGAGTCGAGTCGCTGCGGAGACGAGATCCGACGATTGTTCAGATCGATAAGGATGAAGTGAACTGAATCAGGAGTCACTTCAGTTCCATGTGAACACAGAAATCCATGAACAAGCTGCAGCTGAACCTCCTCAGTGAGTCCAGCAGGTCCGTCTTTGTTTTACGGCGTCACTCGTTAATCCCTCTTTAATGAGACAGAAGCCTGAAGGAAACACGAGTGGAGACGAGACTCGGCCGAGTTTACAGCCGACCGAAGGAAACTTTAACCTCAAACTGAGCTTCATTTGGATTCTTGGATCAAGGCAGAGCTGCTTTCTGAGACGCAGCAAAGCTTTGACCAACGCTGAAGATTATTGATGGATTTACTAAAAGTGGAAGCTCATGGAAAAATGTAAAAGCAACATCACTTCTAAATCTCCACATATTTCACACATTTACCATAACTGAAGGATTTTTAAAAACTTATATTTAAAGAAACATCACGCATATTCACATATTGGCTCATGTAAATTTCATGTTCCATATTTCACCTTATTTTTCATTTATTAAACATATTTATTATTATTTGTGTTTCTGAGGTTGTGAATGTGTCCTAATCCACCAGTTGTGGAGTTTAAGAGCATCTTAATCACATATTTTTCACAATAGAATAACAATGAAGGCTTCTTATTGCATTGTATTTCCGTTTTGTATTTTCCATTTTCATTATCCAATAATCCTCTGATTATTTAGAAGTAATTGATTCATTGTTTGGTCAACGGAACATCAAACAAATGCCAAAAGACAAAAGGCTTTATTCAACCCAAAAATGATTAAAGCTAAACTGATGAATGACAAAGAAAAAGGCTTCTTTAAGACACTAAAAGCTAAAAATATTTGGGATTGATGTCAAAATTTGTGCTTAAAATATGACTCAAACAATCAATCATTTATCACAATAGCTGCAGAATCAATTTTAAATTGGAACCACAAATTAAAACAATAGAGCGAGCAAAACCCCCAATGTTTAGATGACTAATATTTCAGTATTTAGATTTTATTCAACTCAAGCAGGTTAAAACTTTGTCTGTTGTATTAATACTCCATCACGTTTAACTCTGACTAAACCGGAGTTTGAAAGAAATTTATATGAAAAATCAAATGTGTCAGAAAAATACACAATAGACACATACTTTCTCCAAACTGTTCAAGGATTGTTGCAGATTTTTGTAAATAATCAACATGCAATTTTATCCATTTGTAATATGATGAAATTTAGAAACTACATGTTTATGATATGTGCCAGTATAGAAATATATTAGTTTTCTTTTGAGATCAAAAGTTTGTTTCAGAAAAAAACAACAGCCCTGATTTAAGCTTTCAGTAATATCGCATGATTTTCCCACAGAATGTCTATAAAAGATGGATGTAGCCTTCAGGTCTGAAAAGTGAAGCCGATGCTAACAACCCTTTGTTCTTTCTATCAGCCAGCAGGGGGCGACTCAAGAAATCCAATCGTATAAAAGTCCTTGATCTGTTACCTCAGGAAGTGTTTTCCTAATGAATGTATGGACTCAATCGATGGTTTCAAAGCTCCTTAAATACAACATGACGTTCATTTAGTAAATTATGGTTCCATTTAGAGGAATACAGACAATACAGCAGAGTGGTTTCTGAACGAGGCTACCTTGTAGCAGATTCAGCCCTCGCTCGTTTTAAAAAACCAAGCTGATGAAGGCCAAATTCCAAACTCAAGGCCTGAAAACAGTCCTTCACAAACCAGTGGGCACGTCTGTCTTTTATCTTCAGTCCACGGCTCTTCCTTAGCGAGTGTAGTTCACCCAGATGTCATAGAATTGCAGATAACTTGTTTGTTTTGGCTAAAAGCTGAAACTGAAAGTTCAAGGAGCCACATCCATCGGTCAAAAAAGATCATGTGACACGGCTGGAAACTCCAGAACGGTTCCCAAAAAAACTACCTGGATACACTTTATTTTACAGGTGCTTAATTTCCTGAACTTTCTAGGAAATTCACCTAAATTAAAGATAAAACGGAGCCACAAAAGAGAGAATTTAAACCCAAGGCAAACATTTATTCATTATTAAATCACATTTGCATTGATCATAAATGCTGAATTGTTTGCTTTCCTGTAGACAAATTTAATGTTTCTGCGTCTGTGCTCCGACAGAAACGCTCTGTGTAATTAACCAGAACTACTTAATTGGAAATATCCAAACTAAACTCTGTGTTTAAAGTATTTTACTCTCAATGACTTTGTTGATCATTTCAGAAAACTTGAAAATTAGCAAGAAATTAGGAACCTGTACGTTTATTAGAATTCTTTTTCAGTTCGTATTTGAAGAAAATAAAAAGTAGAAGACAAACAAAACACTTGTACCGACGTCTTTGTGTAACCAAGAGATACTTCACGAACTCCAGATGACCTGTACGTTATTTCTAAGACCGCTTTGGAGGACAGAGAATCTCTGATAAGTCTGACGGTAAACTGAAGGACGAGAAAGAGACAAAACACAGGCAGCTTTCAGTCAAACATCTCCAACAAAACAAGATGAAGGTCAGAGAGGTGACACCCCAGCGAGGAGAGAGGTCAGCTTTAAAAAGCAGAAGAAAAGAAACAATTCCCAGCTTCACTTCCTCGATTCTTAACGAACAAAGAAGCTGCAGACGCGTCGGTCAGGTCGGCTGCAGGATAAATGTGGGTGTAGATCTTCTTAATAATGATCCACAGTCTGGTGTTTACTCTGAGGAGCCGCTCGGCCTCCATACGTCTCTGTCAGGACGTTTTGCCGTCGCTGCTGTTTTCTGTCCTCAGCAGCTGAATCAGCTTCATGTTAAAACACAGAAAAACGCTGCTGTTTGACACAAAGCTTCCTCTGCCGCACCTGAAGGTCACCTCGCAACTTCCTCAACTTGGGACTTTTCTCGCTCAAACTTGAACCGACATCGTTTTGACATGTTCAAGTTTAAAAGGAGCCAGACAAAAAAAAGCGAGTTCTGTATCTGCCTCTTGCATTAAGGCTGGTTTTTACAAGTAGTGTCAGAAATGGAGGTTTTGCCATAAAAATATTTGTTTTCTAGCAGTTTTCGTGACTCAGATTTTCAATTTTT